CGATGAGCCATAAAACGCCCAATGACACTGCTATAGCCCCATGTGCTAAATACTGAATGAGCTGTGTTAACAAATCAGCTGGTCAGCTGTGGGTACACACTTCGACCATTTCCATCCTTGGTAATACACGGGAAGCGTAGTATTAACTGAAATATGGGAACAGACACTACTAGTCTAGCGTGGATCCGTGTTTGGCCACAATTCTACTTCTAAACAACATATTACTTTTTATGACGCCACATTTGAGTAAAAAGTTCTCTGCATCGTAAAATCTCTTGATTATAGAAATATATTATATTTTCCTGTTGACTTGTCTGCACTACATGTATTTTATTGCGTCTTTGTTTTCCAACACCTGTTTAATCATATCATCAATTGTTTTTGCCAATGGACTTACTAATCTCATTAGCCCGTCAACATCCGTTCAATAATACATGATTAAATCGTTAAACTATCTTAGAGTAGAAACACTTTGTACAAATATTTCAAAACGCAGTAAAAACTAAATTTGAAAAATAAACTGTTGATAATTCATTTAACTTTTCACGCTGTTGACAGCCACTCCTTTTTAGCAAGTAACGACGGAAATTACCGAATGTTTTACTTCACAGATGTCATCGGGTACCTTCGGCATTTTCCTCTATCTATATTTTTAATGTCATCCACATGCTCCCCTCACAACAAATGTCATTGGGTACCATTCCGTATTTTTTTTATCCAGTCCATATTTTAATTGTCACCCACGTGCTCAAGATGCTTGCTGTCAGGGCCAATAATACAAACAGTTTATAAGAAAAGTTGTAATCTTTTTACGGAATGAGGAATGATGGGCCTGCTACCGATTACCTGCCTGTTTTCTGTGATAGGACAAACTCTCGCGGCTTTTGACAAAATACTCACAGAGCGTAAAATCGCCTGCCGAGTTCGTTTCAGCTGCTATTGGTCGGGAAACGGAAAAAGCACCACATTTACCATCGCTTACGAAAGTTTGTTTTTATTTGTGTTTTAAACTGATAGAGCTAGACACATGTCACGACATTTGACATATGGCGTATCCGGTTATTATCTTTTCTGTTACAACCCACAGCTTTACATTGACTCTTGTTAGATGGGTATTTCTCCCCCTTTATATACACCACATCAGGTCCATGGCTGGTCACTGTTCTGGCTTATTCTGCCCGTTTCATTTGGTTTCATAGAAATGTAATCAGATTTAGATAAGTCAATCCAAACCCATCTTCCCGAGGCAAGATAGTTAGCTGACTTTTAAAGTCCAGTTTCCACTGGACTTTTATAGTCAGTTAACTCTCTTGCCTCGGGAAGATGATTCAAACCATATTTCTAAAGAAACTGAATCCGTTTAAATGTTTAGACGTATGGACACTTTTAATTTTTGTCGAACCAGGTGTGATTAAAACGTGGATTATGCAGAAATTGCATGTCAACAGTGAGGTATGCAATGATCCATTGATACTCTACTAAATTGCAGTCTTTGAAATTAGATATATTAATTATTTTTGTTAAATTGTCAAATATACAATAGAAAGGAACTGAAAAAATCTATACTTGTCACAGTATTGTAGACTTGCTTGGGATATCCGATATTTATTTTCTTGGGTCTGCATGAGGGACTCCACTGGTCGCAGCGTTTTGCTATTTTCAAAACACGGAGAAAACACTTCTGTCGTATGTTGGTTGGTTTGTTGTTTAACGCCGCACTCAGCAATATTCCAGCTATATGACGGCGGTCTGTAAATAGATGTAATTGAGTCTGGACCAGACAATCCAGTGATTGATATCATGAGCATCGACCCACGCGATTGGGATCGATGACGTGCATCAACCAAGACAGCAAGCCTGATCAGTGGATCCCGTTCTGTCGTATGTAACTCCATTACCTGTGATTGGGAGTAGCGGTAGATGGGACCGACCGAGTGAGTGAGTTGGGTTTAATGCCGGATTTCCTAACAGGGAGTGAATAAGTAGCCGTATCCTGCGTCAACAGGAAGTGGAAATAGGTTATTAGTTATAACGGAAATGGGGCATGTTGTTTTACATCGCAATCAGCAACCTCCGAGGTACATCCCTGCCGCCTGTAAATAATCGAGTCTGGTCAATGAAAGGCTGGAAACGACACCCTCTCGGTACAATGACATACATGTATCCAGGTCGCACACTGTAACCTCTCGTTCCACATTGTAGTCGGTTCTGTCAACAAATTAGCTACCGCCTCCTTGGTCTAGTGGATAGAGCGCCGGCCAGGAGAGCGGAAGGTCGGTGGTTCGATTCCCGGCTGCGTCATACCAACGGACGTTAAAAGATGGTACTTTTTGTTACCCTACCTGGCAAGGGCTGGTCTGCTCGGTGTTTGAGTTAGATATTCATGTTAACCTGTGGCATGGTATCTCAGTGGGCTAGCACTCTAAAACTGGCATTAGTCCGGACAAACACACGCACGCACGCACGCACGCACGCACGCACGCACGCACCCCATTTCGCCTCACCTTACCTGAACTCACCTTTTTCCGATAAGCAGAGGGAAAATTGGGAACTCGGCGGGTTGGACGAAGGGACGAATGGGCTCACAGGCAAACCAAATTTTGATATGCTTTCGGAGTACATGCTGAACGAGCGATGGGAATCAAACAATTTTCTAACAGGACAAGCGATTACACATGTCACTGTGCTAGAGCGTTCTTGTTAGGAGGAGGGGCTGTTTATGCTGGGTAGCCTAGTGGTTAAAGCGTTCATCCGTCACCCCAAAGCACGGGCTCGATTCCCCACATGGGTACAATATGTGAAGCCCATTTCTGACATCCCCCGCCGATACGTTATTGGAATATTGCTGTGTAAAACCGAACTCAATCACTCACTGTTATGAAGAACTATAATATTGCGTCCTTAAAATGTTTGTCCCCATATAAGAATTGCGATAATAATTAAATAATTATTTTCACTGCACCATATATTCTTAACACACTCCTCATTATGCAAATGAGAGGGATTACGCAACAACACGTGTTGCGGGATTATGCGAGAGCGAGAATACGCAGAGAGGTAATTGCTACATGTTGAATGAATTACTATAGAATAAATTTGGAAAATAATTCTGTCTTCCTCATATCTCCGACAAATAAATCATTCACACTAGCGGAGGGATCCAGCGGCTATTAGGGGATGTTAAGAAGTCCCTGAGATGCGGACTGAAATGTTACACCCGATACAGCAGGCGAAGAAATATTTTCATATCATCTACAATATTTATGGCATGATAATTCTGTTAGCTAGGAAACATTGAGCGGGGGGATCCTGTTTTCCTCTTTGATGTTCAAGTGTCGGGGATGTTTAGAGTGCTTTGCCAAAAAATATATGATGTCTTTCTAGAAAGTCGCTGATTAAAGTAGCTAGCCTCTCTAGCCGCGGAGATAGGAAGAGACGAGCTACCCAAGGGCGGTAATTCATCATAATCCTAGTCGACGAACTTTGCCCCAAAGCGGAATCTTGATGATAATCGGTGTCGTGAGTGAAACCACATGCATACGTAAACGCGTGGACTCGGTCCACTCTGCTGAACATCATCTTGTTGTTTATGTTGAAGAGCAGCCAATTTTCGCTCAGAAGAATCATCCATTTGGTTTTAAGTATCAACGCTGCATGCAGATAATATATATGCATATATCTGTCAAAGCGGCAAAAAATTAGCAGAGTTATTATTCATCTTTTGTTAATAGAACGTAACTTGATTGATGCGTTATGTAAACTTGAAAGAAATCCTTTTATTAGATGGGCAATATATTTGCCAGAATGAGAATCATATCAGCACTGGTGTTCAACTAGAGCGTTTAAAGGTACTCGGAAACAGAATTTGATGTTTACCCTTTTATCATATTTAAAACATTGACCGTTGATTGTAAGAGATTTATTTCCGAGGAAACAAACTCGCAAGCATAAAGAATTTGGTATTGAAGTCTTTTTCGGCTTATTAATTTATTGATTTTATACTAAAAATAATTTGAAATTGACGCAATAATTTTTTATTCGTTGTCTTTTTTAGACTTCCTGTCAACCACTGTTCTGGGTGGTTGTAAAACTGCTAATGAGGCCATCTGTCAATGTTTTCATTTCGTTATATGAGTACGCCCTTAGATAGAAATGAAATGGTACTGATTCCGTAAGGGTTAATTGACCGTTCTTGGTTTTTCTGAAAAAAATATTACAGGCCGAATATTTTGATTAAAAATGTAAAAACACTACAAAGTACCAGGGTAATATACTCATGACGTGTATTTCAATATTGTAATATATCCAAATGAATATTTGAGAAAATATTTACATGTAAACGTAAGGATAAAGTTCAAAATTAAATATCCTAAATATGTAAACAATTTTTAAAATATATGTTTTGGAATGTGATAACGCAAGGTTGACGTCATACCTGCATGTACGTTTTCGACGCCAAAGGTATGTCACGTTAATAAAAACGTTATTTATATTATGTTAATGGTAAGACACGTGTGCACCTCATCTGATGCGAGTAATGTATTTAGTCTGACCATATGCTATCAATATCATTTTCATCATACAAATAATGTTCTAATGAGAGGTCAATTTAGTCAATTAACTGTTTATACACCTGACCTCACGTCTAAGAAAATTACTGCCCCCAAGTCGCGATCAAATCCGCGTTGGTCAATTGTTGAAGGTAAGCGAGCCAGTGACGTTGGCTAATTAAACTTGGGTGTTTCGCGTGGCGGGTCAGTGGTTACCTCTGCAATAAATTTATTCTCGCGGTTCCGTTAATTAATCATCCCCCCAAAACTGATGTCAGTGATTGGTATAGATATCCCAGAACAGCTTCCATGCGCGTATACCAAACGTGGAGACTCGCGAGGCAATTATTCGTCGCGCAAAGCATGCCGGGACGCGTTGATTGACAGTTAACGACAGCAAGCTCCTCCCCCCGGGGGCAATGAGGGATAATGTGGCCAACACTCCGCCTCTAGATCGGGCGAATCCCATTCACATACGATAAGAGAATCGTGTCCTCATTCGAAGCAAGGCTTAAAGACAGATATTGTGTTTTCTGTTTACAACGGAAAGACGTTGAGCGATACGGGCCGAGTTGACTGCTTTTCATACTTTGACGAAGCGAGATTACAAAAATTAGGATCCAACGCATGTTGCGGAAAGTACGGATTTTATGTGAAGTTTTTGAAAAGAATACTCCAACATTTGAGCATGACCTCTTTGCTTGAGTGCATGTTGTGAAACAGCGGAGGTTTGTTCCATCACCCAAAAACATCCGTCCGTCTGTCTGTGTGTCTGAAGACTATGTCGACGTCGAGTGGTGTGTCTGATTCGGAGGACAGTGGTCGAGAACAATACGAACCTATACATAGACTTGCTATGATTCGAGTTCAGCCCCCAAGGAACCCAAACAAACCATTTACGTCATTTAGCATCAAAGACATTCTCGGGTCCTCCACACCCCACTCTGTCCGCACGTGTACCGTAAATGGGGCAAAAATCGTGCGGCCATGGGACAGTGGTGTCAGTCACGACAGTGACAACTCCAGCGACGGTGAGGAAGAAATTAATGTTGATGATGACGACCCCCCAGCCTCCGTCAAATCCATCGTCTCCCCTTTAGACGCCCTCATGGAAATGGCCAATAAGACGTTTCAGGGCTTAGAAACACCCGAATCTGCAGGTGAGATTTGACTGTGAAATTTGTTTCTTCAGATCCATTCTATTTTCACTTATGGGACTGGTAGAATATTTACCGGAAATTCCCGAAATTCATAAGCACAATATGCCGATTTATGATTCTAGTATTTTCCCCTGGATTCGCGTGATCTTTTGTGCTATATCTAAAAAGAGAGAACAAACAAATGTGTTAATAATTTCCTGTTAGATTTATCAAAGAGAAAAATATTGATTCAATTGTCGCTGTAAAAACATAAGAAATATTTACCATTACGTTTAAACAAAAACATCATTCAAAAATCGGTATCATTTGTCGTAAATCTGTAATACACTGTACAAATAATACAATATTATTTTTAGGATAAAATCACATGCTTGTTATAAAAACTAATACATTCTTCTATGAGAACAGAATCCAGATGTTCCTATCAGTACATGAACATTTCCAATAAAATTGTTGCTATAATCCAAACACATCACTTGTCGTTATAAGTGTTCAAATCGTATTGTAAACCGACATGGAAACAATTACAAATGAGACTGAGATCTACAAAAAAACAAAGTTAAAAATGACAACTAGCCACCGTGGTATAAAACTGACAAGATTGGTGAACTGAATATGAAATAGGCATCACACTTCAACAATATGCAAGCAGTGGTTCCCAGTGTGTCCATTGCTCCGTAAATCATGCTGTCATTTTAATGCTATTTGCCACGATGTCAATTTCCATGATGAATCTCACTGAAATTTCATCAAGTTTCTCATCACTTATCTTGTCAATCAAAGCTGAAATAAATCAAATTCTAAAATGGCTTGAAATGTATTTGCTGCAATTAATATGTAACCGTTCATGTTTTGACAATGCTGTCAAACCTTGAAAGAGCACTTTCCTCAAATTGACATGCCTTCGATTGGAGATAAACGAAATGCGTCAATTTCCATAAATGTACATTACACATAGGATAAACAAACACTGAAATGTACAAATAGATAAATACATATAGCTACGATAATTATGGATTGATGTTAATGTTTCCAATCCAGTGATCGTCAATTATCATATACATGCATAGGCTGTAGAGTGAATAGAAACTCTAAAAAAATATTTTTTCCTGATACACCTTTACTGGTGTCAATATATTGACATTGGTTTATACATAATTAGTTTTGTGAACGTAATGACAAAAAGAATGAGTAAAAATCGATGGGTTCGATAAATTAAATGACAATACTGACAGTGCATTGTACACCACACTGTCAAAAGATTACCCAAGGGCTTATTATAAATAATTATTGAATCTAGAAAAATATAACATATGCATAACGTGCATTTAGATATTTTGAAGTCAATAGAACCCATTGGCTGTAAAAACAAACAAATCAACAAAAACAGTAATATAAAATAAACGCCGCTTTGACTGACACTTGAAATCGAAACCGTACTTCTCAGGAGGTGCATGCAAACATTTGTCACATTTTCGCAATATATTTTCATAGTACCACACACAAGTGCATAACATTTTACGATGATAGGTTTTGTAATTTAAACTTATGGTTTTATTGCTATTTTAAACACGTGTACGCCAATAATTCTGACAAGTGACAGTGCGTGAATAAACATGGTTGGTATTATTGCAATGTTAAACATTCCTGTCGACGAATGAATATGAAATTTACACAGTTTTGACAGAACAAAGGTGGCAAGAGATATTGTCACAGCAAAACGCCATGATATAAGTTACAGAGTGACCATGTACGTTTTAACATGCTTTAATTGACACATGTTAGCATGACCAGCACGGAATGTTCGTACATACTATGAAATTGACAACCAGAAACGAGTCATATTGTGAATGCGTTTTGGCACTGTCGTTTATTTGTCTAGATTGGGATGTGTAGTGAGTTATGTTTTGTGGAAAATCACTAACTGAAAAATAACATGCTCTGTGGTCCCCCAAAGATGAATTATTTTGGTGATTTCTTCTTGGTGGAATATACTAAACCTTCAACATACTCAAAGTCTGTAGCATCTTGAACAGTTTTCTATTAAAATACTTTTTTATATTAAACTCCTGCTGTGCAGTGTAATCAGTTTATAAAAGATATTAACTTTAGATGAGCTTCTATGTAATGCAGTGTTATTGTATAAAAAAAATAAAACATATTTAGTTTTCATTTAAAAAACAATATTAATAAAGTAATGAATGAAAACTTTGGCGTATTTATGAGCACAGGTGCACCCCCTCGTGTTTTGAATAAAGTCATTTCGTAATTGCTTTTGGCATGTGTTGTTACTAAGGAGACCGAGACATGTAAATAATAATCATACCACTACATGTTGTTTGTTAATCATATTCACGGACATTTTGTTCTATGGTCATAATTTACAAAAATGTAACCAATATTTTTTCCCACTTCGCCAAAATATGGCATTAATTCTTTCGTTAGGAGTGTTAGATTAATAAAATAGTCACATTTCCAACGACCACAGTGTCGGTGTGAACGTATGTCGCTCGCTAAGACAATGCATGAAACTGTAGAAGCTCCCTGTCAGTGTTGTTACATATGCGACATGTCGTTCCTGTTCCACCTCTCTGTCACCGTGAGTGACGATGCGCTGTACGGAGCTCTCCGTGTTTTAAAAGCCAACCGGTTCACACTCGAGTCTTTGATGTCCGCTTGTTGGGATGACAGCCCTTGTCTCGAGGATAAAGACTATGTCACATTTGATTGTCCGAGGTTGGTATCATCAGCCGGACTCCTCCGTCCGTGGCCGAACTGGACAGTTATGACCATAGGGATTGATGTATTGAGTACAGTCTGGGAAGAAGTCCAGAGAGAAGCATACGCTGAACTCATAACTCACAATATTCAGGTTTCCATATTGTCGGAGCAGATGGTATTGTTCGAATTGTTGAGGATACGCATAAAACAAACACAAGAAGAAAAATATGACATGAAGAGAAACGTTGATTTCAGGAAAGTACGAAAGTAACAAAACACATTTTCATACAGTTGAAGAACAGTATTTTTAGATAAAATTGGTGTATCTATGTTTTCGTATCATGAATGTGGACTCGGGTCTTTTTGTTTGGTGGTTTAAGTTCTTTATAAAATACAAATATACAATTGACCCAAAACACCATCCTAACACTATAGGATAATTGATTGAGTTTTATGTTTATTCAGACGATACTGCTTGTCTTAGTAATGCTTCCTTATCACGAGGGTTATACCAGTCAACTCAATTTTTCCAGATAAGGTTCACCAAACAATGATATTAAAAACAAATTATTAATAACCGGGAAACTGGTTATTTCTTTATAAGTTTCATGGCTAAGAAAGTGTATAAAGTATATTTTTTTTCATAATAGCCATCCTGTGAAATAGAACATGTGTCACCACGCCTTTAATCTATAATTACAATAGAAATGATGAATAAGTTCTAAGTCCGTATTCCAATTGTTCCTTGTATCATGTCGCCAGTACCTTCCATTATACCATTTATTCTTTCTGTGGTATATCCACCCCACAATTACTAAGGCAATAAAGTCGTAATGAGTGACTGTGGTATATTTCAAGAGTTTATAATGACATCCTTAGAGCTTCCTTACATTATGGGGCTTACCTTTACATCTCAGCCCACTGAAATGCCTCTCAAGAACAACACCCGGTTATAATGCGGACAATGACACGATTCCTTTAAGAAGGATTGAAATAGATAAGTCGGCTTCTTGTAAATATCACTGGCTATGAAATATGCTTTGAAGTGTGATAATTTATGGATATTTCATTTCAGGCCAATAACTGACTTTTTATGTTGAATTGGGTTATGAAAATGATAGAGATTGACTTGGGAAGTTGACTTTGTGAAATAATCTTACGTGGAGATTTACACATAATCAGGTGGGTGTGGGAATCGTTCCCTTCTAACATACAATATGATTCTCTATTTTGAATGAATTATAGTTAGTTTTTGACAGGTGTTTATGATGATTTTACACAGTCTTTACATCGTACTAGAAAAACAAATCGTACAGCTACTAAAACGTGTTATCAAATATTAAGGTATATTTTAGGTATGCATTTTTACATTCAGACAATTTCCTGATTGTACATCTCTTTGTACAGATATACTTACATAACATATTCACTATGTTGTCTAACTAGCTATGTTGTCACCAAATCTAATTATAATAATTTATGAACGAATACTGTTTGAATATGTATATTTATATTATTTTATCACATGTACACATCAACCAGTTATACTCAAATTTAAACTCCAAATTTTAAAATATATCCATCACATGATAACATAATTATTATTCATATCATATTCGAAATACACATCTCTTTATTGTGCCTGAAGTTTCCAACACAAAAGATGCATTCAATGATGCTTTGTAACTGGACTGAAATAGCTCTCCAATAATGATTCGTCCTAAACTAAAGGTTATCAATAACTTTGTAACTTGTACTTTAAAAAAAAAGAAAATAAGGGTACATACTATCATATAGCTTTGTCGTTCAGCTATCGTGAACTCGTCTTCAAGATTTCGCTTGATGTGTTATTCTCATGTAGTTGATAGTGATTCATGAACACATGTGTGGGTATGATAGGGAAGATGCTACTGAGATTTATTATGATTATGGAAAGTGTTTTGATTCTTTTTTTTATTACAATTAGCCTTTGATCTTATTGAGGTGCTTCTTCCATATTTGTATCAGTAGAAATGTATCCAAGAGACTTCGAATGTCATTTCTTACTTAATTTGAATCATATTCCATTTTCTGTGTCGATTTCTTAGAAATATGTGCCACGTGTATCAATGAGCTGTCCAGTTCTCGTCCGCTAGACACCACTCGAGTTTATTGCTGCCATCTTCTTCACATCAGTGGTCATAATGGTCAGTTATGACCACTCGAGTAGCCAGACAACAGTGGTCACTGTGTTGCCAAGTGGGCAGTTGGCTAATTGGAGTGATATAATCTGATATCCC